CTGGGCTCAGTGTCCTCTAGGGCCATGATTCATCCCAAAAAAACACCCAAACAAGCAGGGGGTCACTCCCTCCCTGTGCCTGCAGAGCCAAGTGCTGTGCTGTGCTGTGCTGTGCCGTGCCGTGCTGTGCTGCCTGTAGGACAGCACAAGGAAATAAAGCAACCTGCATCGCATATTCCAGTCTTTGCTCTCCCTGAGGGTCTGGAGCTGGGGAGCTGGGGGCAATGGGAGTGTTGGGTGGGTGGTTGTCATGGCTGGATGCAGTGCCCAGGGCAGGACAGGGAGGTTTTGGGATCGTAGCTTGGCTGCAGAGCCTGGGAAAGCCCTGGGAAGCAAAATCCCTGCTTCTTCCAGGAGGCAAAGGGAAATGAATGAAAAATAAAAGCTCTTTGAAATAGTTGAGATATGTCTATGGGAAAACAGGGGGATTGTCTTGGCTGCTGAACACAGCATGGATCAGCACAGTGAGGGCTGCTGCTGAGCCAGGACAAGGGGAACCCAGCCAAATCCTGTCCCTTGGAAGAATGGCATCAGGGTCTGCTGTGTGCCCTAGTCTGTGCTGGCATGGCAACGCCTGGCAAAGCCCCCATTCCAGACCCCGCAGCAGGGACCAGGGCGATTTGGGGAATAGGTTATGGGATGCCAAACAAGCTCTAATCCACCTGGTTCCCCTTGGCCCAGCACCTCGGGGCACTGCACAATAAATTAATTGGTATTAGTGAGTGAAACCTTCCCAAAATCCATCCGTGGGGATGCTACAGCTGAAGCCACCTTATCTCCCTGCCTCACTCCCGCTATCTTGGGACAGCGAGCATCTCCTCTTTGTCAAGGGCTTGCTTTGTTGGGAATAGGAAACAAAGAAGAGGAGGAGGAGGAGGAAGAAGCAGGGTCTGTTTTGTTTGGCAATGACCTTGCTATCTCCCTCAGCAGGCAGCCGCTCCTTGGGCCAGAGGCTCTTGCTTATCTGCTCTGCTGCAGATTGATTCCCTTCACTTGAACGTTAATTTCCACTGTATTTTTTTAATGATTATTTTTTGTGGTTTGGGGGCTGGGAAAGCTTTGGGCTCTGTCCCATCCAGCTCTTCCCAGCTCCTCTCCTCAGTGCGGACCCCATTTGGGTTCAACCCTCCGCCCCACATGAGAGCGCTGGGTACAGGCTCCTACCCCAAATGCACAAGAAATCATTAATAAAATTAATTAATAAACTCCTTTGATCAGAGCCTAAAGACTGTGGGAGCCATACAGCTGAGCACTAACAGCCCTTCATCTCCACTGCTGCTGTCTCAATTGGTCCCACCAAGGAGAGAGGAGAAAAAAATTGAAAATCACTAGTTTCTCTTTATCTTGTTCCTGTGCAAAATTATTTTATTTGATTTTATAAGCAGGTAGTTTTCAGTCTCGGAGGCAACACTTGGAGACCACCCCTGGAATTTTGCACTCCTCGCTTTGCTAGCTGTGGAATGAGGTTTTCCTGCATGAGAACATTAAAAAAAAAAGTAATAAAATATGACTGTAACCCAAAAAATGGAACATTTAAAACAGGATGATGATACTGGGGGACATTGCGAGTGGAATTATCACGATGGTTTTGTGTGGCACTGCTGAGGCACAGCCCCAAGGATGGTTCTTGGGGTGATTTTGTGCCCGTGCAGTGGCTGGTGCAGTGCGATGGTAGCTGAGGGCAGCACCCCACGGTGTGGGGACAAGGATACAATCATGAGTGCCAGAGAGCCTGGGGAACTGCTGGATGCGGCAGCAGAGCCGGACTGAGCCCATTCCCCTCACACGGATGGAGTCGTGCGGGTGCCCATTGACAGGGACGGGGAGGCTACACTGGGCCATGGCTGCGCGGGCTCGGCTAAGAGGCAGCACTAGCAGCCCAAACCCACCACAAACTAGCCTGAACCCCGCAAAAACGAGTCTAAACAACCCCTCGAAGGGCGGCTCAGTGAGGAGGGAGAGGTCCGGAGGCCACTCCCCTCACGCACAAAATGGCGGCCGGCCCCGCCCCCCAAGATGGCGGCGGTCCGCGCCGCGACGCGCCCCGAGTCCATCGCTGCGGCCTCCACGCGCCTCCGTACCCGGCCGCACGGGCTGTACCGCCTGCGCCAGTCTCCCGCCTTCCGCCTCATCTCCGTCCTTCTCTCCTTGGTGCGGTGCGGGAGCCAGCGGCGTGCCCGCCGGTGCAGCCTACCCCGCGCTCCCTGACACCGTCGCCGGCTATGCTGGCCGCCAACCGCCCTCTCCTCCGCCGCTGCGCTGTCTCCCGGCCTTCGCACCGCCGTCCGCCGGCCCGCCGGCCCCCGCAGGTGAGCGGCCCACGCGTCCGTAGCTCTCGTCGCCCGGTTCGCCTCACGAGATCCCCGGCCCGGCGGGTGCGAACGCGGAACCCGTCGTGGTCCTTGCGTGACGCCGGCGGCTATTGCGGGCCGCGCCCGCAGCTTGTCTCCGCCGCCACCGGGACCCCCCGCCGTGTGCGGCCTCACATGGGGCCCGGGCACCTGCCCGGGGCTTGCAGCGGGGAGCGGGTGGCGGCGCTTTCCCGCGCCCCCCCGCAAGGTGACATTGTGATGAAGGCGGCGGTGACCTCCGCAGCACCGCGGCGCTGACCGCCCCCGGGCCCCCTCCAGCTCCGGGCCAGCCGTCACCGCTCTAATTAACACCCCGATTAGTTATAATATTAACACCTCATTAGCACACCAGTTAACAGGGAGAGGAGGAATAGCAGCCGCAGTACGGTGGGACGGTGGCCAGGGCGGCAGAGCTGGAATACGGAGACTGCAGAGAACACACGATGCCCGTGCATCGCAATTAATAGCTAATTAACCTCTGCATTGCAATTAATAGCTAATTAGCAGGCACTAATAATGCGTGGGACCTGTGTGTGCCTCTGCTGCGGCACGTGTGCGTTAAACAGCTGCCTTAAGGGAGCGTTTTGCTGCGCTTAAGTAATAAGCATAGGGGTTTTTTAGGTGCTTCTTAAAACCCTTGGTTTTTTGTTATTTTTAAATCCACTAAAAGTCTTTGCTCGCTGTTCCTTTGTGCTGCTGAACCCCCTCTGCTCGTGGCCATCCAAGTTCTTCTTTTCCGAGGTCTTATGTTACAAACACCCCACTTAACACTGCTGTGACCCCTTGGCCTCAGGGTGGCCTCGGAGGTTTGTGTTGCTGCAAAACCTTCCCTTTGTAATCCCTGGGCTCCTCCTCACTGCCAAATTTTCAGTAAATTAATGTTGTTCTTCATATGTGTTTTTCTTCTGTGCTCGCTAACAGGGAAAACTGACAAATTCGGGCCCTTGGGGAGAAGCTTTAACATGTTTTTGTGTAATATTAGGTGATTTTAGGCTTCTTAGGCTCTTGATGCCTGTTGTGTTCATTTGAAAGCAAAGGTACGTGCCCTTTGCTTCTTCCTTGAGTTGGGAATCTCCTCGTGGATAGGTTGGTGTGGTTTGGCTGTCACACACACGTGATGTGTGTGACAGTGACCTTGAAGGACCCCATTCGAGGCAAAATGAATCTCAGAGCCCAGTCCCCAAAATATAAACATTAATATGGAAAACATAGGGTGGAAAAGAAATGTAGCAGCAGCTGAAAAATGTGCCCTGGAAATCCAGAGTTCTAATTTTTATGGTCTTTATTTTCATTCAGGATCCAGGGAATAGTTTGGTTAAGGAAAGACTTTAGTTTTAAGACTTAAAGGTGGCATTTGAGCACTTCAATTTAGGCTTTTCTCAAACTGTGATTGACTATTTCTCTGTAGGATTTTCTTTTTGTTTAGGAAAAACAAGGCTTCACCCCCAAACAGCTGAAATCTGGGGGGTTTTCAGCAGTGTCCTGCGTGCAGGAGCATTTACAGAGTTGTGCTCTTGCTCTGAGTTCAGCTGTGCAGGTGATTTATTAGAGAAAGCAGGGTCAAAGGTCTGTTTTGGAGTTGGGGAGAGGAGGGGGAATTTCCCTACAGACTGGCAAAAGATGATTATAATTCCAGCTTGGCCTCTTATTTGCTTTTCCCTAGCTAAAATACATAAAACTATTTTCATGCTTTCATTGCATAAATCAGAATTGTGGCTGAAATGTTGGACCATGTTAAATTCTGTTAAAAAACCAAATTTGACTTCTTAGAAGTCTGTCATTAGTGAGACTGAAGAGAAGGATATCAGCAAAAGTACAACCCAGTGCCAGGGTTTCTTCTTTTAAATAAAACTCTGTAGCTGGTCAGCACAAGTAGTTCATGGTGGGTTAAGAAAGAAAAAAAGTCAGGAGCTAAATTTGACTTCCCTAAAGCGGAGCTTTGAGCTCCAAGGTCGTATCTGGTGTGTGACCTATGCAAATATTAGTGGAGTGAGATTAGCAGTGGAGAAAGGAAGCACCAGGCTTGTGTTCCTTTAGTTAAGTTCCTTTGGAAAACTGTTCCAACCTTCATGCAGTAAAATAAGACAATTTCATCAAAGAACCCCCCAATTTGTGACAGAGTAGTGTTGGGGGAAGACATTAATTTATAAATCATATCAGACTAATTTGTGCATTGGGGTACAATCTGCTTTTGTGATTAATTATCAAATATTAATGCAATTACAACCTTGAGATCCAGGAGTTTCATCTTGGAGAGACATAGAGTGATAATTTTTTTTTCTCCTTCAACCCTTCAGCAGCCTGTTGGAAGAAGTATCTCTCATCCCTTTGCTTTTGAGAGCCTTTGTAGTTGAGCTCATGGAGTTTTGGTGCTGACTGATGTTACGTTTCTCCAGCTCACTTGGCTCTGGGAAGAGGGAAAATTCCTGTATCTTACAGATATAGGGATGCCAGAAAACCAGCTCTGGATAACCAGTCCTTAAGAGAGGTTTTCTTGTTAAATAATCCTGCTCTGACCAAAGGCTCTGGGGACACTTTGGAAGTCTGATGTGGAAAAAATAGACACTTTGCCACAAACCAAAACACAGTATTTAATAGCTGTATCCATCCACTGCTTATCCAGGACTGATCCAGACTGACTGTAGCAAGTGAAATCCATATTTTATGGCTTCTGGCCTCTGGGTAAGGACTCAAGTACTGTTATTTTCCTTTTGCTCCAAATGTTTTCCTTTGTTTCTGGATCCAGCTGTGCTGCATGCCCGCTGCTACTCTCACGGGTCACAAGAGTCAGATGAAGAATTCGATGCTCGCTGGGTGACGTATTTCAACAAGCCAGATATTGATGCCTGGGAGCTCAGGAAAGGTATGCTGGGGAAAAGGGAAGAGCAATCTGAAGTAAATGTAAGTTTGGTGACCAGAAATAACAACTTTACTTGGCCTTTTTGTGGACTCCCCATCCCTGGAAGTGTCTAAGGCCAGGTTGGATGGGACTTCCAGCAGCCTGGTCTAGTGGAAGGTGGGTGGGCTAAGTGACATTTGAAGTCCTTTCCAACCCAAACCATTCCATAACTTCAGCACCTGGATAGGAGGGAGAGAAACATTTGCTCCAAGGAAAAGTGTATGTAAGCTCAGTTTAGTGTGTAACCACACACATTTTTCTTTGGACTTTGACCCAGTGGCTTGGCCATTACTGACTGCAGGCTGTTGTCTGGTTGTCTCCAGTTTTTTGCTGTGGAGTTGCCAAGTTTTGTTACGCTTCCCCACTTAAGAATTAAAAATGTGTTTGCATAATCAGATAATTGCAGCCAGAGGGATCGTTCCAGCAGCACCTGGCTGGCTAGGTGTTGGGCTCTTCCCTTGGAAAGGAGAGGAAGGGAATAGACAGCAAGGAGTTCCTTTTGGCAGCATGGCAAGCTGATTCCAAGTTCCTCTTAGTGTTTTCTTGTCTCCACAGGCATAAACACACTGGTGGGTTACGACCTGGTCCCAGAACCAAAAATCATTGACGCGGCTCTGAGGGCCTGCAGACGGTTAAATGACTTTGCCAGCACTGTCCGCATCCTGGAGGTTGTAAAGGTGGGTGGAACTGCTGTGTTTGCATTGCTAGAGCCTGGCAGCAGGAGAGTTTCCCCTGGCTTTTTCCTGCTGCAAGGGGAAACCACCCTTTCCTGTTGCTGTGATCAATGGCTGCATGATGAGCACAAAGCTTTACTGGCTTCTTAAGGGATTGAGTGCTGAGCTGGCTGGGAGTAGTAACTCAGAAAGCTGAGTGGGCCTGGAAAACACCTTAAACCTTGAAACTTGAATCCAGCCTTCCCAGGGAGTTAAGAGGAGCCAGCCCTAGAAGCCAGCAGTTCTGCTCTGCCACAAGCAGTGGCTGGTGTGGAGATTTTGGAGGCATAAGACCAATGGAAGAATCTTTCTATGCTGAAATAACACCATTTGTCTTTTTGTTTAGGACAAGGCAGGACCTCACAAGGAAATCTATCCTTACGTTATCCAGGAGCTTAGACCAACTTTGAGTGAACTGGGAATCTCCACTCCAGAGGAACTGGGCCTGGACAAAGCATAAACTTTATTGGTAAGGGATGATGTTGCTTCCCAGACTCTTAGCATGGGACTATTGTACCCCAAAACTCCTGCAAAGGCAGAATATGGGCAAGACCTGACGTGCTCTAATCCCAGACTAAAATTAAGCCCTAAATAAAAATCCTCATGGAAGTGAAGCCTCTTAACTTGGTTTCTTCAGGAGATAACCAGTGTCATTATTTTTTAAAATATTATGCTTAGAATAGAGATACCATATGTCAACCTGCTGCAAATAGTACTTAATTCTGGATCTTCTAAGTACTTTCCCTCCTCCTTACCCTAGAATATGATGTCTTGGTGCTAGGTGTACTGAAGCAGTTGTGCTGGGAATGCAGTACCTGCATTTTTGAGCTGAGGATGGTTAGATGGGGTTTTGAAGGTAAAAAGGATGGAAATAAACCATTTGAAACCTCATGGAAACTTTGTGGAGATATTTGGCTGCTTCTTAAATGGCTTTTCTGGTTCTTTTTTTTTATTTTCTGTTCTTTTTTGTTCCAGGTGCATTACTCAAGTGTTTTACTGATGCTACCTGATTGTACACAGTCACCTGGAGACACAAACCTTAAATCTTATCTGAAATAACTTCTTCCTTTATTGAGTCGCAGTGTAAGTGCTGTGGAGTTGGACCTAATAAAGGAAAAACTGGTTTGACTGATATGGTGGCAGTGTGGTTATTTCTTGCTGCTTTTCTAGGGAAAAGGAAGAAGTAAACCATGAATGTGCTCTTAGGAGTTTATAAATCATTATTTGCTTGGCAAATAATTTGCTTGGCCCCCTGTGTCTGGGGCCTTCCTGGGCACCTGGCTTTGGGAAAGGGAAGGAGCTGTCTGGAGGGCATCATGATCCTCCTGTACATGCAGCTTTGGGGAGGGACAGAGCAAGGACTGGACAAGCTCTCCCAGCCCTCGGAGAATTTCCCTGGGATGATGTCCAGAGCCTCAGAGGTGAGTGGGAGGCTCCTGTTTGCAAGGGATGTGCCCTCACTGGACGGGATCTGTTCTGGGACCGATGGCACTCCTATTTTCTACCTCGGTTCTGGTACAGGCAGGGGGTTGATGGGAGGACCAGAGGAGGGCGGGGAAGTCGGGGCTGGGAGAGAATGGAAATTTCGTACCATTTTCCCCGTAGAAAAGGGGAGTGTTCCGGGAGGGCAGGGTTCGGTGTGTTCCCTTGCACGGCGGGCGCTGTGCGGGCAGGACCCCCGCTGCCATCGCGCTCCGTCCGCGCTCCAACACGCAGGCACCAGAGGGGCGCGCCCCCTGCCCGCTCCCATTGGCTGAGTCCAACAGCCCCGCGCTGCCACATTGCTGGCGGGCCCCCCCGAGGGCGGTGCCACAGGCGGCATGGCGACGTGCGGCGGCGAGCCGGGCTTGGCCCGCTCCCGGTCCGCTGCGGCGAGCGGGCGGGCGAGGGGCCCGGCGTACGGGCGGAACGGGGGTGCTGGTGATGTGGGGTGTGGGGCTGGATGAGCGTGAGGCGTGTAGGGTATATGTAGGCGGGTTTCGGTGGTATGCAGGGGGTGGTATAGGGCTGGGGTATGTCTGGGGTAGTGTGGGGTATGTGCATCGTGTGGGGCTGGGGAGTGGGCATGGGATTATATGGGGTATGTGCATGGGAGGTATGGGGCAGTATGGGGCTGGTATGGGGCTGGTATGCGTGTGGGGGGCAGTATGGGGTATGGGCATGGTGGGTATGGGGCTGGAGTATGTCTATAGGGGAATACGGGGTGGGGCATATACACAGAGGGGCAATATGGGAGTAGAGGGGGTATATGCACAGAGGCACAGTGCAAGGATGGTGTATCAGCACCCCTCTAGGGAGGGGTATGGCACATTCTGAGGGATTTGGGGGTCTGCTGCCTGCCTGGTTATTACCACGATAAGGCTCTGCCCTGCTAATTCCGTTTTAAGACACTGAGGCTAATCCTGACTGTGCTCTCCAATCACCAGCCTGTCTTCTGCCTTGTTCCTTTAATTTCCCATCCCTCCTGCACCAACTCTCCTCTGCCCTTTCCTGATTTTCCATCTATTTTCTTCATTACATATTATATTTGTGGAGCTCTTCTCTTCCCCCTTGCCATTAGGAGTGCTGGCTCTCCTTGACAATACCTGGATAAAAGGGGAAGCTTGAAGGCTCCAACCCTGCAGAGAAATTAAAATAAAGTATCCTTGTATTTTTACTTGATGATCTTGCTCATTAAATCTCCTCCATCACGTGTTTTCCCAAGTATTGCTGGAGCTGGGCTTGCACAGGAGCTGCTGGTCACCACACGTGCTTTTAGCATCACCATTCCCAAGTAATCCCTTCATCTGCGACTAGATCTGCTTATTCCTTTTCCTCTCCCTGCTCCTGGTCTGGGAGCTGACCTTGAGCTCCCAGGAATGAATGGATGCTCTGAGATGACTCTCTGTTACTTTATCCCCGTGGAGAGATGCTGAGTGTGCTTCTTTCCCTCTTTTTTTTTTTTTTTTTTAGCTGATTTGGGCTGAAAACAAGAGGCCGAACAAGGGGACGGATACGGTGGAGAAAAGGGGACCATACATCATGAGCAAACCTCCCTCCATTCAGGCCAAGCTGAGTAAATGATGCTTGGTGGACTCTGCTGGGATTTCGGGAGTTATTTCCACCTCTCTGCCAGGGCAGGAGTTACCCACAGCCTTTTTATTCCTTGGTGGGATAAAACCTTTATAAAAACCCCCTCCAAAACATTAAAAATCCCATAGCAATGCCTGTGGAAAGCACTGCATTGCCCCCATGCTTACCTGCAACCCCCCCACCACCCAAAAAACAGATCTTGGGGGAACACATGGGAATTTTTATCTCTGTCCCTGTGCTTGGCTTTCAGAGAGGCAGCGTGAGCTGGTGAAGGCAGCTCTGCGAAGGCAGGGGCTGCTGGGGGGACCCACCACCCCGAAATCGGCACCTAAAAGGTCTGATCCCCTTTTTCTTTCCCCAAAATGTATTTTTTGCTTCCCTTGGGGAGGCGGAGAAATTCAGAGGATTATAAATGAGAGTTTGGGACCTTATTCTGATGGCTCTGTTTGGCCAGGAACATCCGGTATAATAAAATATAGGGCTTGTGTCTTTTATTTGAGGGATGATTTGGTGTTGTAGATTTATTTGGGTTAGCTGGTGGTGGCCCTGGATAGCTCCTGGCTGGGAAGGAATGGGATTCCTGCCCTGGCTCCTCAGTCCATCAGCTCCATGGATGTGTTTCCATGGAAAACATCTGTCCTGGTCTCACTCGGCTGCTTTCTGGCAGGTCGGTGAAGTTTAACAAGGGCTACACTGCACTCAACCAGACAGCTGATGAGAACCTGGTCTCCCTCGACTCAGACAGGTGAATATTCCAGGATTTTTGGGTGATTATCCCAGGATTTTTGGTGGAGGGTGCTCAGAGCTGGCTTTACTTTGGGGATTGATTTTCCTTGTCACTTTTAGAGCACTGAGCACCTCTGAGCAGTGAAATGGAGATGAGCTCAGCTGGTTTAGAGCACGGTGCTAATAAACACCAAGGTTGTGGGTTTGATCCCTGCATGGGCCATTCACTTAAGAGTTATCAATGATCCTTGTGGGTCCCTTCCAACACAGAATACTCTGTGAAATTTCTGTGAAATGCTCCTGTTGTCCCAAATTTAACAAATCCCTTGCAGTTACACAGAGCTTATTCCCAAGGTTATTTCCTGGCCAGCTGTTTCCTTTTTCTCTTAGTGACGGGGAGCCAGGATCCAGATGTTCCTCAGGATACTCCTCTGCTGAGGCAAGTGCAGGTGTTTGACTCTGACCGTGTGGCCCCCACGTGCTCCCCTGTCCCCCTCACAACCTGAGATTCTGGATAGGGGCTGGAAGCATAACCCCACGGGGTGTGGATGCACGTGTCCCATCCTACAGAGCTCCACTTTGTCCTCCCACAGCAGGTGAACCAGGACCTGAGCCGGCAGCTGCTGCAGGACGGGTACCACCTCGACGAGGTCCCCGATGATGAAGACCTGGATCTCATCCCCCCAAAACCAGTTGCTTCCTCTTCTTGCCCCTGTTGTTTTGGAGAAAATCTCTCCTGTGTGATCCAATAGGTGCACAAGAACAGGTCAAAATCCAGCACTTTCTTTGTCCCGTGGGACGGCTGTTGCTGTCTGTGTCCCGTGCTGGGATGGTGACACAATGACTGAACGATTCTGCTTATGGCAGAGACCAACTGACCCCACAGGACTTTTCTTTACACTCAGCAATATCAGGGAGAGGTGGCATGGTGACATTTTGGTGGTCTGGATGGGACCTCTCACCTGCTGGGGTGGGAAAGAAGAGGCAGAGCCTGGCACCTCCATGGAGGTGTAAAGGGAAGGAGTTAGGAGGTGCTGGGTTTGGAGCTAATGGCTTGTTCCTGTTCTCCCCAGTGCTGCTTTGATGCAGGTAGGGGACTGCCTAGACCCCCCCATACCAGCTCCACACAGGGTTTGGATGTGGGGGCCTGGGGACTCTGCTGCAAACCTTAAAAGCTGCCTTAAACCATGGTCCTGCTCTACAACCTAGAGGACAATCAGCTGCTTCAATACAGAAACCTTATTTAAATATTTCATGTCTAGAGACCTGAACTGTTGGGGTTTTCTGTTTGTTTGTTTGTTTTGTTTGCTTCTGGGGTTTTGCTTTTGTACTTTACTTGTTAAAGGGAGCACTCAATAAACTGAATCTCATTACTTGGAGGGTGTTGGTGCCCTGCTCCTCCCAGCAGCCTCGCTCCAGAGGGCTTCTTCCCTGGCTGGTGGGATTTCAGAGCGATCTGTTTTCCCTCATCACATTTTACTCACTTCCTGTTCCCCTGAGGAGCGAGGGGGGGTAACAACCAGTGGTGGGAGAGTTACAGCTGGAGCTGCTCCCAGCATTTCCTCCAGTCCCCCACCCCAGTCCTCCTCCTGCTCCTTGCACCACACCGCCCTGCGCTGAGGACAAAGTCACCTCTTTATTCACGGCATCGGAAGCTTTCCCGCTCCATAAACCTGCCAAACAACCCCCTTTTACAGCCAGGGAAGGGGCAACACTGGCTGCCATCAGCCAGGCTTAGAAGAGCCTGACAGAAGCTGCAGAAAGCCTCAGCCTGCTGTGCCACATCCGAGGAGTCGATCTATAGAATTGCTCTTTCTATACATCAGGGCTGGGTTTGGGATTTAATAGATGGAGGGAAAACTTCCAAGCGAGATGACTTTGCCGACACCAGTTTCTATCTACTCAAACGTGGAGTGTTGGGGAGGAAGTGTTCCAGGAGGAGACAGGAGTGTCTCAGAGGAGGCAGCAGGCTCGGAAGAGCAGCATCCCATCTGGTGAGGAGAGGTGGAGGGAGATGCTCTCGTTAGCCGAGATGAAGAGCACGGAGCCACGACACAGAGACATCTCGGAGGCTGCGGCTGTGGAGGTGCCCACAGCTGTCCCCTGGATCACCAGCAAGATGCTGGCAGAGTCTATGGCAGAGATGAGGTACAGCTTGATGGAGGCAGGGATCTGCAAAGGAAAATGTCACTGTGGCTGGAGTCTCCCCCAGCTTTCCTCCTCTACAGAGAGCTGGGATGGGGTTATCTCCATTCCCACCCCTCTGCTGCACCTGCAGCAGCCCAAGCCCAGGGGCCTCGGTTTGGCTGAGGACACCCAAGACCTGTTCCTGGT